TTCCCTGCTTCAGGTTCAAATTGATGTACTACCCTGTCTGGTTCTTCTTATCCCCTCTTACTCACTGTTAGAACCACTATCTCATAGAAAGATTTAGTTTATAAGACCTCTGGAAGTCTGCTCAAAGCAAACTTAAATTTCAAGCTGTGCCAGGTTGCTCAAGGCCTTGTTCAGTCCAATTTGCAAATATCTTCAAGGATGGAGATTTCTCCATTTAAATCCTTTCTGAACACTTATTCCAGTGCTACAATCAGGAGGAATTTCCCTGGCCCACATCTCATGATTACTGCCTTTTGTCCTGTCACTGTGCACTTCAGAGAAGAGTTTGACTTTGTTTTCTCTGCACGCCCTTTTCAGATAGTTGAAGATAGCTATTGGATTGGGGGCATCTCTTCTACAAGCTGAACAGAACCAGCTCTCTCAGTTTTTCTTCTTTCTTTGATTGCCCTGACCCTAGCCATCATGGCGGTCACAGTAGTGCATCAGAATGGCTACACACATATAATGAACCCTAACAAACTTTTTAACTGTAACCAAAACCAAGAATTTTTTTATGATGAGGGTGATGAGTCACTGAAACAGGTTGCCGAGACAAGTTGTGGATGCCCCGTCATTGGAGGTGTTTAAGGTCAGGTTGGATGGGGCTTTGAGCAACCTGATCTAGTGAAAAATGTCCCTCCTTATTGCAGTGGGGTTGACCTTTGAAGGTCCCTTCCAACCCATACCATTCTATTATTCTATGATTGTAAACTAAGGTACAGGCATATTCTATTGGAACACACAGTTTTCATAAAATCCAAATGCTTTGTAAAATTGGAAAGATTTGAGCAGATCACTGACTTGAAAGAGAACTGGTGAAAAACTTGACAATGCTGATTTTTTTCCTATTTCTTCACCTACAGAATTCAATATTTTCTTTCTCTGAAATGAGCTACTTTTTAAAATGAAATTGTGTCACAGTATAGAGTCCAAGTCGAAATAGGAATGAATAGCTTTAGCCACCCTAAAGCAAGTTTATTTTCTGAAATATATCTTCCTTCCTGGAACATCTGAGTATTGGTTTATTATTATTTTGCTGATAAATAAATAAATGAAGCTGATTTTTGGAAATTCATATTCACTCACCAAATGGAACTTTTTATTTCTTTGCATCTTTTTCTTTAGAAAGGTTGGAAAGCCAGGTCCAAACACCTACATACTCATGCTTTATTTTCAAATGATCCAAAACAAGCAGAAAGAATGGGCAATTGAATTGAAAATGCCAGGCAGATGTGAATACAGACAGGAAAACTGAGTATGTTATAATGGCTGTAAGTATAGACAAGGCACAGAGTCTATACAGTTTACAGTAGGGGAAGAAGAAGCTGGGTGGAGAAAAAGGATGGAGTTCTCCCCCAGGGTTTTATTCCTTGGACTCTCTGCACTGGTGCTCTGGTGTTCCTGTCCACACACTGGTTTTGGTTTATGTTCAGGCCATTGAGTCAGGTATCTTAAGGAGTGGTTTACATCCACAGCCAAGCTAGTAGAATTAATGCTCATGCTCCCCTGGGGACCAGGATTGACATTATGACTGCTATTATGTCTAGCTGTTTCGTGGGCTACCTAAAAAGAAATAAGGGATTTTTGTGTCCTTCGATCCACTGTCCTGCCATCTATGAGTGCCATCACAGAGGTCAAGCACAGTTTGCCTTTTAGAGGTTAAATGGAATTCACTGGATATATAAAGCACCTCACTAGAGATAATATAATTCTATTTGACATTCCTATAGGGGAATTAGAAAGACAAGGATTATACAAAGTATTATTAGCAGTTTCATGTCAAATATGGAGGAAGTAAACCTCGTATTCTATGATTCTATGACTATCAGCAACTTTGGCCCTCATGATTTTAAAAGGGCAAAAATACCATAGAGATTCATGATATGCAGTTATTTCTCTAAAAGATACAAAAGGTCATTGCAAACACGGGCTTTTATGCTAGAATTCAGATTTATAACAAATCTAAGGGCAAATCTGAAACTAGAAGGTACTTCATAATTCCTTTCATAGTAAAGCACAGAATGGGTAATAAGAAGAAACATGCAGGTCTGTATGGTTTTGTAAATATGATAATGTTGGTAATTTCTTGTATTTGTATTTGTCGGTCATATCTTGTATTGTATTGATATATCTTGTATCTCTTTTTCTCCACATTTCAACAGTTTTATAACAATCTTTTTTAATAGGAGCCAGTTTAACACAAACACAGACTGCAGGTTAAATATTAAGGTATCATTGATCATGATCCTGCCCACACATGTATGATTTACTCTATCAGTGGTTACATGCTCTGTAGAGTCCTTGCTGCCTTCAGTAGATTTTGATTTTATTCGTATAGCTGAGATCTCTAACACATAATTACTCTTCTTTTTGTTTTTCATGTCTTCTTTTTTTCCTAGATTGAATGCTCAAGTATATCTGACTACTCAGAAAAAATTATCAAGGCCAACCACTTGGACAACAGTAAGGCATATATAAAAATCTTTTCTTCAGGAGAAAGAGAAGATAACTGTTTCACTTTTTCTGATTAATTTATGTTGTGTGCTTTATATGTAAATGGTAGTTTTGCATAATTTACTTATGTAAATACAAATCTGAACACCTCATTCTAGGCACTACCACAGTTCCTCATGCGCAATGTTGCTTCTACATTTACTTGTAGGCTCATGAATAGGAGTCATCAGTGGGCAGTTTGATTTAACAAAGCAGACAGAAGGCCCCATATTAGAGCTGAACTTTTCAAATTAATTCTGCCATTTTACTTCCACCTTATCTCTTCAATAGAATTCATGCACACACATTTCCATTCAAATTGCAGTAAGGTTCAAAGCAAAAAGTATGTCATATCAATGCAGATTTTTCACTGAGAGTTTCTACAAATATTAAAAAAACCCAAACATACTGAAATACACACACTCACACAAATGAAAATGTTCAATTCTCAGAATAACAGTGTCATAGAAAACTTTTTTTTAATTGAAAGGAAAACTGTTGAAATTTCTAGGGATGTGGAAACACTTCAATTTTAAAAAGTACTAAACACACTGCCAACCTACTGAAAACTCTTGACAAAAATAACCTCCAACAAGCTCTATTTCCTGTCTTCTGTCCTCCTCCAAATCACTGCACAGAAGATATCTTTGTAACAACCTAAAAAATCAGGCTTTTTTTAACTGAGGCTGTAAGACAGTTCTTGTTTAAAAGTGCTCTTTGTGGAGAGCTTGCGTTTGCTGCAGAGCAGTGCAGATCACAGCCGGCTAGGCTCTATCATTTGCCCTTGCTTTGAGCTGTGCTATGTTAGCACATACGCAGGAATAGATTTCTGTTCTGGTTCAGATCTGCTCTAAACCATTCTATTGCCAGAATAAATAAGAAGGATCCAGTGTTCTCCAGAGGTTGCAGAAGGCATTTATCTCTGCTTCTTCCTTCTATTTCTCCAAGGAGCAAGAAGCAGAGACTCCCTCCCCTTTGGCACAAG